AAAAGTGCTGAGAGACTCAGAGAAGGCTATGAGATAACAGGGGCAGAGATTGTCATGATGTAACTAGAAGCAAATGATGACAATGACTGTCAGCCAACTGCAGACCCTGGGCTTCAAGCCTTTGAGTCCTTGTACTTCAAATGCATCCCACATGCCATAGGCTATCCTCTGCTATCACTAGCTACGGTTTCCCCCTGCCTCTTTCCCCTGTGAACAGAGTCAAGGACTCATTTTGCTCTGCTCTCTGTGGTGCAACAATTTGTTCATTTGCCTCCTCAGGCTTGCTGTCTACAATGTTCTACTCTGCTCAGTGATCTAGGGAGCTGACTTCTGTGAACTTCCTTGATTGCTGAATTCCTGCTGGTTTTAGCCAGAAGGAAATCATCAGAGTAGGTAGACAATAGAAGCTTTTCATTCAGTTGGTCTCTTCCCTGGCTGGGTCAGTTGCTCTTGGCTGGTATCCTATCCTTTAGGTGTCCCCATCCCAAGGATTCAGCTCTCATAAGACTCCTATTGCCCCTTTCCACCCTTGTTCTCTGAGGCCTAGGTGTAGAAATGACACAGGTTCCAGCCAGAAATGTGACACTTTACTACCTGATGTGGGCTCCCTTTGCTTTGCCTGTACTTGGTAGATAATCACTTTGTTAAATTATCATTCCAACTACTTTTGCCCATTCTTGCTGAGATCTTGATTCCCTTGGTTCTTAAAACAATTCATTAATTTCACCCCTAACCACAGCCCATGCATTAAGTGAGCTTTAAATGCCTACATTTTCTGAAGCATTTTCATTCACACACTTCAGGTTCAAAACAGTCTTATCAAGTTTCAAATGACCTCAAATACTATGTCTTTTAAACTCGTCCTTTCTTCCCTTCTTGTCTTCCTTCCCTTCTTCTCCCCTGTCCCAATTCTTTCTCCCTCTCTCTCCCTTCTTTATTTCCTCCTTTCTTTTGCTCCCATTAATGGTGGTCTGGGTCTTGACCTGGTGCTTCCAGGTTCTTGGCCTTGCTCAAGAATGAAATGAAAACTCACACAGATTGAAAAGTGGTAAGGAAGCTTTAGTCAAAGCAAAGCAATGGAACACACTGAAAAGGAACACAGTGCAGGGACTGACAGCAAGCCACACAGTGAAGACTCAAGGGCCCAAGTTATTGTCTAGAGTGTCTTTTTAAGGCATCTAAAAAAGAAAAAAATGAGGATCTTCTTATTGGGACGGTGAGTGTTATGTTTAGAAGACAACTTACTGTATCGAAAAGACTTGTAAAAACAAAATTGTTTTTAGTTTACAAGCCATGAGGAAGTTGCTCCTATCTTGACCCTGTCAGCTAACTTGCCCAAGATGGACTACTTCCCAGTGCAGTTGGGCTATTCTTAAAAACTGCTGATTGCTGTGAAATCTTTCACTGCCTCAGCTATTCTTACAAGGTAAGAGGGTCACAAGATTTACAGGATAACTGCTAAGTTCCACTTTTGTATGAACTGCCTGTTTACTTGGATGGCTGAGGCATTTGCTGGACATCCATCACAAAATCAAGCTTTGCCTGATTAACAGGGTATGAGTTAACTTGACTCCCCAAAATTATAAGCTTGTGGGTTTTGCCTTTAAATTCCTTGGACTAATGATAGCCAAGGCCTTACCTAGAGAACTCTCTGGTTTGGTCTTGGCCAGGTTTTTGTCGTTGCTATTGTTTGTTTGTTTTGTTTTGATTTTAAAAAAGCATTTATTTTACTAAAATTATGGAGCCAGACTGGTGAATAATTGAATAATCCCAGACCCATAACTTGCTAAGGGATGTAATTTGGGTGGTTCTCATTTTGATTGAAAGATTGGGTGATACAAAATTTTTTTCCAATGTATATGTCCCTTCCCATAATTCATCTTATTTTAATTATATGCACACACAATTGTACATAGTCATAAGATGATAAATAGTAGATTATCCCTAAAAGTTCATCTTGAAGACAGTTTTGCCTTATTGCATGTGAACTCAAATTTGGTTTGGTCCAATTTAGTCCAGAGGACTGTGGAACAGAATTGATCTAAGTTTGTTGTTAACAAGAGGAAAAACATAACCCATTGTTCAGAGAGGTGTGTTTATGCATCCTGTGTGCTGGTAAGGTCCTGGGCTGCCAAGTGCATTATTATTCTAAAGGGGTATGTGTGTAGCCAAGGTACAGTGGAGTACGAGGATGCTAAGCCACTCTTTATGCACATTTGCTTCAACAGAAGATCTGGAAGTGCTTAATAAGTACCCGGAGCCAGGCGTTGGTGGCACACACCTTTAATCCCAGCACACAGGAGGCAGAGGCAGGTGGATCTCTGTGAGTTAGAGGCCAGCCTGGTCTCCAGAGCGAGGGCCAGGATAGGCTCCAAAGCTACACAGAGAAACCCAGTCTTGGAAAAAAAAATAGTGCCTGAAAGTGTGGTGTTCAGGAGACTCAGAGCTGAGTACAATACAGTCAGTTTTTCAAGATAGTCACAGTCAAGTGAGACATTAAGCAAACAATTAGCCCAAAACCAAAAGGATAAGACAGATGGCTGAAGGTCCACAGGTACAGAGTCCTGACCAGGCCATTCTTGGTGGGGGCAGGAGACATTCCCAGTGACCCAGCACTCTGCAGTCTTGCTCTAAGTCCTGCTTAGAGTCTACTCCTCTGGCTGTTTCCTCCTCACATACTCGAAGCTCCCAGAGCTGGATAGTCACAGCAGGTTAGATGATGCTACACACTTCACATCCATCTGTTCAGTTAATATATTCTGAACATCATCCCACATTGAGCTAATGTTTTTCTCCCCATTCTACAGACAAAGGTTTGGGGAAAGCTGGTCACGGTGCTGGCAGTTTGCCACCAGAATAAGCATAACCATTCCTTTTCTCCAGGACTAAAAACCACAGCACAGATCTCTGCCTCTAAGCCAAAACATTCTGGGAAGACATGAAAAAACAGTAGGTCTTCTTGAGTCTTTAATGTTGAATAGGATATGCGGTGTCAGTCCAGGAAGCTGTCCTCACCTCTCTTCATTACACTAATTGCTCTGAGGATGAAATATGACTTGTTTCCCTCCTCCCTTATCCTCCCCCTAGTCAGAGCTCCACCACTTTAGAATATTGTCTGCATGGATCAGAAAAGGTTCCCAGCCTCATTATACAGAAGCTAAAACTGAGATCCTAGCAAATAAAAGACTTAACCATGTTGTCTCATTTCCTAGGGTACCCGGTGGCTGCCCTTTGTTCTAACAAGACCAATATCCTCTCAAAGAAGCACACCATTCTAACCTTTGTCTCTTACAACTTCCTGCCCCAGCCAGTCGCTTCTTCCCACCACCCATCACCCACATGTGGCGTGACCTTCAGAGCCCACTCCAGTTCCTCCTGTCTCTGCCCCCTTTATTCTCACTGCCCTGCTTTCCTCCAGAGATTAACATCAGTAACCAACTCTGTTACCTAATTAGGCCACATGGATTGCACCTGCCTGCCACAATGGACGACAGTCAGCTTAATCAGACAGAATCTTTCCACTCTAGGCAATATTCCCACAGTAATGTGGTTCTGAGGCCAAAGGAGAGAAAGTCACTGTGGCTGACTGCAGACCGTGTGGTCTGCTGTGCTCACAACATGCCTTCTTTGCATATTTTCAGGCATAGGTGCTGACTTCTACATATACTGACTGCTATGGACTGGAGGTACACACTGGGACTTCTCTCCTGCTACTTTCCAGCTGCCTTCAGTCTCCTTCCCAGAGAACAACCTCATCTTTCCTTAAGCCAGGCACCTGATGCCTCCAGCCCCAGGACTTCTCAAGAATCCCCCTCCTCCTGCCATGGCAAAAGTGCACAGACCTGGACAGCTCCCAGAGCTCAAAGCTTATTTCATTCTCCACTAGAGAGCTCCCCAGACTCCTGCAAGGCTGAGCCACTATCTCACTCTGGCCTTCACCCATGGCTATCTCTTCCAGGCAGAGGCAGATTTACTGTCTGGCACTGTGATGCCTGTTTTTGTTGGGTCCTCCAAGATCTTATCACCTGTTCTCCCTTTCCCTTCTGGGTTCCCTCTGCTGTCTTCACTCTTCTTGTGTTTTACCATCTAACACCACACTCTTGCTTAGGGTGGGTCTCATGTAAAACTGCTCCCTTGTGTATTGAATGTTTCCAGTGTATTGAATGCGGGTTATCTGCATGGGAAGGTGGGCAGTTAGAAAGACTGTTGTCTGCTCGGGGTTTGGGAAGCTGTTTGTTGTTGTTTAGTCCCTACTCATTTAGGAAGTAAGTTCTGTTGAGTTAAAGAGAAACAGAGATCAAATCACTCATCTCTTGCTGGGTTTCTCAGTTCTACACTCGGATCGTTCATTAGATAAAGATGATCTAAGGAAACTGAAGCCTGGGATAATTTTAAGTCAAGATAAAGCTGCATAGTGGAGTTTCTGGTTACTCTGGGGCGATGTTGGAGACCAGGCAGGCCCCTAGGTGTCTCCTGTGCTCTGCATTCCAGGGGCGTCCCAGACCTGAGTTCACCAAACAGCCCTTTTTACTCCTCTGCGGGCCACCAAACCCTTGCAAAACCACTTGGCAGGTTTCTTCTCCCGGAGAGGATCTGCTGGCTCACCCTTGCAGGAGGCGGGGGTGGGAGACAGTAAACCAGGGTGAGAAAAGGTTAGGTACTCGTGCAGCTAGGAGGGCAACCATGGGGCCTCCTCAGCCTCAGCGCTACCTTCTTTTAACCCCCAAGGCAGGCAGGAGTGTTTGGGATTGCACAGGGCCGGGTCCCTCTTCCTCCTCCCTCCCCAAGGCAACGTGGGCAGGGCGGGGAAAAGTCGGATATTTGTGGCACGCCCAGAGCTACAAGTGTTCACAGTGTGGCGATAAGGGAAGCGAGTTCATCTCCAGGGCTCCCGGGTGGCGTGGTCCTCAAGAAGGGTGGAGGCTGCTCTTGCCTCCTGCACCGAAGTCCAGTGCAGGGGACACGATCGTGGCCCCCGTGGGCAACACCTAGAGTGTCTGATGGTGCAGTGGTTAGCAATGCTGCAGCTGCTCTGGATGCAGCAGCTACTGCTGCTGGGGGCTCACCCGGGCAGCGCCCAGGATTTGCCCCTCACCCCGGAACCGGCCCTCGAGTGGCTAGGTGAGTGTCCCCAGCGCTGGGGTTGGGACAGATTGGCACTCGAAAGTCAGGGGCGGGAAACTGATAGGGGTTCAGAACTAGAAGAGCAAGTCCGAGTTTGTATTGTGGTGAGTTGTGTAGTGTCCCGAGGCACATAGGACAGACTCAGTCCCTATTCCGCACTCCTACTAGCCTCCGAATTAGGGCGTGGTGAGAGGCAGGATCTTGCTCTCTAGGCTTGCAGGTCATACAGAATTTAGGAGGGTGGGAGTAGCTTCAAAATGCAAACTTTATGAGAGTTGTTTAGGATGGTCACCTTTCAGATAAAGCTGACAAAAAGATGTCTCATTCCGTTCCCTCCCAAAGTGAGCACTTGGCTCACCTTGTGTACAACATTCTACAGACGACCCCAAACAGGCCTGTCCGCTCCGCCCCTTGGGGAGGCGGGGCACCGCGTCCAGTCTCTCAGCCAGATGGACCGCGATGAGATTTGTACAGAGACACCAGCTACCTTCTGCTCCTCGGTTTCTCTAACTGAACAGTGGATCTATGATATTAATGGAACCACTGAAAATTAAGTTACATAGCCCAAAACATGTGCACAAAAATAAATTCAGCATAGATTTACGCACCAGCCACATAGAACTTGTAAGGAAGCCCACGGCAAGATCATTACCCTCAAGGACCAACTCGGGGCTTAGGTGTTAGGCAGCAGCTTGTGCGACAAGCTGGGAAGGAGCCACATAATGCATGTCTGGTGATCCTCCCGTCAGGGTCAGCACCCAGGGTGAGCTAATCCTTTCTATATTTGGCAGACCCAAATCCTGGCCTGTGATAGTGGCTCATGAAGCCTTCTTTTCCATAATCAAGGACACTTGGAATATTAAAATCACCAGCTCCCCGCTGCACTTCCTAGGTGCAGCTTGCAAATCTGAAGTCCAACATGTGGGCATACAGAGTGTCCAAACGCAGGCACTGTCGTGGGCGTGCTGAAAGTACAGGCGTTTCTGTACTAACTGCCACACAGGCTCCCTTCCCCACCCCATCACCTCACCAGCCGAGTTGCAAGTGAATTGTAGACAGCTGTGAATCAAAGAAGGAAAAAGAAACTATTAGTTTTCGGGGGGGGGCTGAAATAGTGTCTATTTTCACTGAAATACTGTCTTAGGGTTTCCATTGTTGGGATAAAACATCATGAGGGAAAAGAGCTTGGGGAAGAAAGGGTTTATTTCACCTTGCAGACTGCAGTCCATCATGGAGGGCAGGGCAGGAACCCGGAAACAGGAGCTGATGCAGAGGCCATGAAAGAGTGCTGCTTGCTGAATTGCTCCCTATTCCTTCCTCAGCCTGCTTTCTTATAGCACCTGGGACCACCAGCCCAGGCGGGCACCGCCAGCAATAAACTGGGCCCTCCCACAGATTGTCCTGTGGGCAAGCCTGTGGTGCGTTTTCTCAATTGAGATGACCTCTCCGCAAATGACTGTAGTTTGTGTCAAGGTGACATAAAACCACCCAGCACAATTAAAGTTCATATTCAAGTGCAGGAGCCAAGGAACAGCTACAATGTGCTTAGCCATGCTTTGGAACACCTCTGCTTCTCATTGCTTCAGCACTACATTGATTTACTTTTAGCCACGATTGGCATCCACCTAACAGTTAAGATGGAAAATACAAATCATTTCACTTACATACCCATTAAGAGTGGATTTATAGCAGTGCCTAACAGGTTACGCATGCAATATTGTTCTGTACATTCCAAGTACGCCATCCCTTCAAGGTAAATAATACTATGTTGTGCTTGCTGACTTTTTGATCATTTATCCATAATCCTTATGCAAAACTCAGTAAATATGTTATATGGCAGCAGAGTTCATTGCGATTCAGAGCCAGACTGAATTCAAATCCTGGATATGACATCTGTGCCTCAGTTTTCTCCTTTGTAAAACATGGGGTCTCATAATGGCATATGGCATCCTTTAGCTATATGATCATAATGGCACCTTCTTCCTCTGGCCAGTCCAGACTATATTGACAGTTTGGCAACTCTATGTGAATAATTTCCTGTTCTTGGCACTATACTTGGCAGACCCTGCTCTCCACTTCTGTGTTGATTAAACCAAAGGGCCTTTTGCGGTTGACTTTCCCTCACAGAGTTCTACCATATGCTAAAATTAGGTGACACCACTCTCCTGGTTAGTTTTCTGTTGATAAAAGAAAACTCTGGCCAAAAGCAACTTGGGAAGGAAAGGGTTTATTTGACTTACACACAAGTCCCAGTCTGTCATTGAGGGAAGTCAAGGCAGGACCTCAAGGCATGAACCATGGAGAAATACTGTTTGCTGGCTAGATCTCTGGCTGGCTTGGGCTCACACTCATGCTCAGATATCTTATGTGGCCCAGGACCACCTGCCCAGGAAATAGTATTTCTCATTGTGGCTTGGGCCCTCCTACATTAATTGTCAATCAAGAAAATGCCTCATGGATATGCTCACAAACTAACCCAATAAACATACTTAACTGAAACTCCTTTTCCAGGTGATTCTGGCTGTGTCAAGTTGTCAAGTTGACCACTCACATACTCCAGATACTAGGAGGGCAAAGAGAGAATAAAGAGGGAGCAGAGCATCCTGGCGAAAGACAGGCAAAGTTTGTGCTAAAGGAAATAAACTAAGTGAGAGTAAACACATTTGGAAGCTACACTGAAAGTTAAAAGCTATAGCTTATATAACTGTAAAGTGGCCCTGATCAGAGCATAGTGTGAGAGTTTCCTCCAGCCGGCTCATTGTAAGTGTCTAGAATCTTATGGAGACTTAAGGATACTAGCCACTTGAATGAAGCACCCTACCCCCCACCCCGGCAAAGACATCACCTGGAAAGTTATGATTGAGCTAAGTCAGTCCTATCAGGGAGCATCAGGTTATAGATAGATAGATAGATAGATAGATAGATAGATAGATAGATAGATATAGAGATAGATATATAGAAATAGATATAGATATTTGTGATCTTTTCTGAAACATGCTCTAAACACACTAAGGTCAAAACAATATTTGACTTAAATTTTTCCACATCTGACTGGGCAGTGAACAGTAAGTGAAAAAAAAAAAGATATGAAGCATAAGTCATATGTCCAAAGTCAAGCAACTGTCCAAAGTCAAGAGTGTAGTAGTGTTCTCAGGAATATTTCATTCTACAATGCAGAGTGTATATGGGATATGTGCATCTCTAAACGTTTCATTTAAAAGATGCCCTTGCCCAATATGTCACACTGGTTTTTTGGTTTGTTTGTTTGTTTGTTTTTTGTAATCTATACTATTCTGTTTATTCTGTCACAGTGGTTCTGATTACTAAATTCTTTCCTTAAGCCACATTAATAGGCACAGCTATCAGTAGGCAAAGCACTGAGCTAGAGATTTGTTTTATCTATGTTGAAGTTAAGGATTTTCAGATAAGGAGAACAAAGAGGAGCCTCCTGCTGCCAAAGTCATTGTGCATGTGAGGAAAAGCCTGGGCAGTAGGAAGAGAAGAGAGATTGTCACCCTGGAGGAGCTTTCAGGAGAGGAGGCTGTAGTGGGGAAGAGTCGTGGCTCTGACACTCTCAGCACCATTTCTGTTACACAGGCTGAAATGCCCTCTCTACTGATCCTAGTTGTTTTCAACACTGGAGAGGACTCAGTGCCAGTTTGTATGCATCACGCTGAATCACATTACACCGAGGCAGGCAACAGCAATCTATACCTTTCTCAGAAGAAAGCCAGGCTAAGTAACTTGTAGAGCAGGGCTTCAGCCCAGTCATCCATGCACTGATTGGAAGAATTGCTGGATGTACCTCTGTGACCCCATGGCCTAGTTCATGGAACATGAGGATTGATTTAGCTCTAGGATAATCAGTGGGTCTTCTGACTGCAGCTCCCTCTCTCAAGTCCCATATGTACAAGTGAATATTTTCATAAAATAAAAATGTGTAAACCCATTGATTTACACACCATTCTAGCAACTCCTATGCCCTTAGGCAATACACCATTCTTCCAATCTGGAGATTGGGAATTTAAGTAAAAGCATGACCAGACTGGTTTAGCTGTCTTCCCTGGCCACATATCACTCCAACCTTCTGGACCTCATTTCTCTTATCTCTGCCCAGCATCTCTCTCTTCATCTTTTTCTTATTATGCCTCCTCCAAGATTGGCTATTACCTCACTCACTTACTTTGCACAGTAACATAGATTTCCAGTTTGCCTGGTCTTTTTAACTCTTCATCTTTGTTTCTCGTCTTGTTTCCCATTGTTCATTGTCATAGTAACAGATGCCACCCAAAACAGGTTTCAAGCCAATGACTAGAAAGGTTAAGTCATACAGGGAGTCCAGTTGTCCACTCAGTTCCTCTTCTTCGACATGACAATTCACTTATTTATCTCAGGTGTCCTGAAGCAGCAATGCTTTCGGATTATGTCTTTTGAACTCACCCCCATCTATCAGAGTAACAGATTGGAGACATCTACGGACTGTTCCTTCCATGTGCTCTCAGAAACTGTCCTTGAAAGCTTTTTAGGAGATGTTCTGGCACATGACTGAGAACATAAATCATGGTTTGAATTGATTGAAATGAAAAGAAATATTATAATTTATAAAAAGAAACAAACCAAGGAACACCTTATAAATACTAGATAGTATTCCTATGAAGTAAAGTCACTCAAAAAAACTGAGCTCTATGATAGGTCACTAAATAAAGCAAGAGCTTTCTGCTTTTATGAGTAGTCACATGACTTGTTAATTTATGATACTTTCCAGACTACTGTTGTTCCAAAGGAATATGTTCTTACTGCTGTTTAAAAACTGCAAAGATAAACATAAACAGGAAATTTAGAGTGACTATGTAACTATGAACACTGTCTTTTTTTCACTGCCCTGATATTCAAAATTAAGACTTGTTTTCACTTTTATTAATGTTGCCAAAGTGATCTGGATGACTATGATGGGGAATGAGTCCTATTGTGCAGATGGGGAGCCCAAGGCCAATTCT